TTATGGACAGAGTCTCCGAGAGATGGCTAGAGACCCTCCCTCCCCATTCCAGCTGTTCTCCTGTAATTCTCTGTTGTAAATTCTTACAGCATCGTGGCCTATAAGCAAGCCTCGTGGTTGCAGCCTGGAGACATCACAGAGAAATGAAGGTGCTGATCTGCGGGAGCCAGAAACACCAGCAACGGCCAGACTCCCTCTGAAGACCAAGGACAGGACCGGGAACTGGTGTTCACAGCAATCCATTGCTCAAGGAACCCAAGTTCCAGCCAGAGTCGGCCTCAGGATGACTTGCTGGGTCTCAGGGGTCCTGGGCGGGTGGGGGAAAGCACTTAACTGGTGATGGAGATACTTTCTCAGCTTTCAGACGTTGCTATTAAGCAGAGGTTGGGTTCTGCAGAGAGTAGAGTGAGAACTTTCAAGGGAGATACACAGGCCACAGGCACAGCCTTACCCAACATGGAAACCAGTTTTTTTCCAGGAATGTTCTGGGGGCTCCAACCATGGTAACTAGTCACCCAGGAGTCCTGTATGAGAACGCAAAGGCAGTCAGCCACCTGAGGGGGATGAGGAAGGGAATTTTCAAAAGAACTGCCAACAGTGAACATCATTCAGTATTTTTAAAATTAAAACAGAACCTTGAAAACAAAGTTTAGCTTTCTTCCCTCAGGCCTTGTTAGCCGTGAATAACTTGGGAGTGATCTAGGACTCAGGCATTTGAAGTCAGCATAGTTTTGTTGGTACTGTTGTTTTTAAGAAGGCAATTATCAAAAAGGCTTTCTTCAAAGGAATACTTTCCATCAACAGTACTTCCCAAAGTGAGAGGTGTGAAAGGAGAGGGGAGATATGCTAACATATCTCAAAACATTATTTCAAGGTACGTATTTTTTTAATTATGTGAATAAAAGACTCACCTCCTAATAAATCAACATTCATAGCATGAGTATGTGACTCACTGTCTCTTTGGTCAGCTTCCCTCTAGAACTCAGACATGGCATTCTCAGACTGGGGTAAAATTTAAAGCTAGAGAATGCATTTAAATCTCAGAGCATTTGGGCTCAGAGTCTGTTATCATCACTGATGCCCTGCACAGACTGGTCCAAAACTTCAAGGCACATCTACTCGGATCCTGGCACCATGCTAGGTGCTGAGGTAGAGCAAGCCTATGACAGCTCCTACCCCACCAGTGTCTGACTTAGTGGGTGGAGCAGACAGAACAACAGGTAGTCGTGTATCCTATAATGAACACTAACATAAGGGCTCATATAACCCAAACCCAAGAGCGCAGAGAAAACTTCTCAGGAGAAGTGGCATAAAACTGGAAAGATGAGTTACCAAGGCTGGATTTTGAGTGAGATTCCAGGCAGAAGGAACATGCTGGAAGACGTGAAGGTGAAAATATCCCCATATACAGAAAATCAATGTGAAGGGAGAAAAGAGGGATGGAGGGAGAGGTATCCAGGGGGCTGGAATCAAGAGGTGAGCTGGGACAGTGAGGAGGAACATCAAAACAGAGCCTTTAAAAAGCTTCTCTTTAGGGACTTCCCTGGTAGTACAGTGGATAAGAATCTGCCTGCCGATGTAGGGGACACAGGTTCGAGCCCTGGTCCGGGAAGATTTCACATGCCATGGGGCAACTAGGCCCGCGTGCCACAACTTCTGAGGCTGTGCCTTACAGCCCAAACACTGCAACTACTGAAGCCCACATGCCTAGAGCCTGTGCTCCAAAATAAGAGGAACAACCACAATGAGAAGCCCACACACCACAACTAGAGAGAGCCCTCACGCAGCAACAAAGATACAGCGCAACCCAAAGTGAACACATGAGTTTTTTAAAAAAAAGTTTCTCTTTAGAAATGCAAATCAAAACTACAGTGAGGCACCTACCACCTCACACCAGTCAGAATGACCGCCATTAAAAAGTCTACAGACGACATATGCTGGAGAGGATATGGACACCCTCTTACACTGTTTCTGGGAATGTACACTGGTACAGCCACTACAGAGAACAGTATGGAGATTCCGCAAAAACTAGAGTTGCCATATGATCCTGTAATCCCACTCCTGGGCATATACCCAACTATAACTCAAAAAGATTCATGCACCCCTATGTTCACAGCACTATTTACAGTAGCCAAGACAAGGAGAAGCCTAAAATGTCCATTGACAGATGAATGGATGAAGAAGATGTGGTACATATATACAGTGGGATGCTAATCAGCCATAAAAAAGCATGAAATAATGCCATTTGCAGCAACATGGATAGACCCAGAGATTATCATACTAAGCAAAGTCAATCAGAAAGAGAAAGACAAATACGATATGATAACACTTATAAAGTGGAATCTAAAATATAATACAAATCAACATATCTATGAAACAAAAACAGACCCATAGATACACAGAACAGACTGGAGGCTGCCAAGGCAGGGCTGGGGGGTGGTATAGAAGAGGGAAGGAATGGGAGTTTGGGTTTAGCAAACTATTATATATAGGATGGATAAACAACAAGGTCCTACTGTATAACACAAGGAACTATATTCAATATCCTGTGACAAATCATAATGGAAAAGGATATGAAAAAGAATATATATGTGTGTGTATGTGTGTATAATTGAGTCACTTTGCTGTACAGAAGAAATTAACATTGTAAATCAACTATACTTCAATAAAAACTTTTTTAAAAAGGAAAAATCAGTTTTTCTTTAGAGTAATAGGATAGCTGTTGAATGGTTTTAGGCAAGAATGTCGAATGCTTACATCTGTATATTAGAAAGAGGACTTTGGCAGCGCTGAGAAGGAACTGGCTTTGGAAGGAATGAGCAAGACATGCAGAAAAGTGACAAGTGGAGAGGCTGTTGAGGAATCCAGGTGAAGGTGATGGTGGACTGACACTAGGTAAGAGGCTATGAGGATGGAGAAAGGTTAGGCAGACTTGGGGAAATATTTGGAAGCTAGAGGTCAGCAGGAGTGGGTAGCGGATGAACTGCAGAAAGTGAGGCAGACGGAGGCGAGAATGATTCAGATTTGGGATTCAGGCAACTAGGAAGGAGGCAGAGGTCCTTGCCAAGACAGGCAACAGAACGTGGGATGCGGAAGATGAGTTCAAGGCCATGCTCTAGGCAAACTCTCATCAATTTGGTCATTCCTCTTGACTCCTTGCCTTCCATCCCGGCCCCTGACCAGTACCCCCACCTAAATGAATCTAATCACTAGCTTCTCCATTCAAGCTTGCTCTCAACATCTAGAAAAATTTCCTTACTTGTCCATACTGACCCTGCCATAAACTTGTGGGTGTTCACCTCAGCTGGGTTCACACCACCACAGTATTGACTCTTTTTCAACCCCACCTGTCACCAGGGTAGTAGTTTCAAATCTTTTCAGCTTTCTCCGGTCTTCCAGCAGATGTTCTAAACCATTAGTTCTCAGAGTGTGGTTCTTGGATTAGCTTAATCAGCATCCGATGGGAACCTGTTTGAAAAGCAAATTCTCTAATTTGATCTGAGACCTAGAGCTTACCATACTAAGCAAAGTCAATCAGAAAGACAAATACCATCAGACTCTAGGGATGGGGCCCCCAAATTGGTATTTTCACAAGTTCTCAAGCTTAGGAACCACTATTCTAATCTACGGAGATCTTTTTCTCTTTCGAACTTTCCCTGAGCCCCCCTCCACCTCTCCCAGGATCCCTAATTCCTGCCCTCGGTTCTCCTCCCAGGTAATCTAGTCTACCAGAACTCTCTCTCCAACAATCTAGCCAGCACCTCCCCCTGGGTCTCCTCAAATGTAAGTCCAAACCCAATTCTTCTCCTACTCCACCATCTAAGCCTATTTCATCTTTTATGTTTTTCTGCTGATTGATTTCATATTTCCGTAAATGGCATCACCTCCCAGCTCCCAGGCTGGAAATCACCAAGTCATCTCTGACCTCTTCGCCTCACCACTGAAATCCATCTCCCTTTCTATCACTTCTAGTTTATCATCCATTCCCTTCTATTTCCCCAGACCTTTAGCCTGACTACAGACCTCCAGCACACTATTTTCATAATATTCTTAAAAGGAAAACAGTTTTAAAAAACTATACACCCCCCTTTAAAATTTTCAATTGGCAACAAATAAATTTTCAGTAAAGCACACAGGGAAGATTCTTACGGGAACATCTCTGATATTTAAATTGGCTGTATTTGAACAAGTAATAGGATAAGTCTTCCCATAAGGTTTATGACATAAGTAGGGCCCAGCAGACACTTAGGTGCTTTGTAGACATTATTGCTAGTCCTATCGGCCACCCTTCAGGAAAGGCATGTCTTCATTTCAAAGATAATAATGCTGAATTTCAGAGAGATGGCACTTGCCCAAAGCTACACAGCTAGTAAGTGGAAAAGCTAAGACTTGATCTCAAATCTTTTTCCCCACACCTTACTGCCTCATTTTGTGTGACTGAAGTCTTACATTAATGATGTCTACTATCAAAAAGCCAAGGTTAGCACCAGTAGAAGTCTATTTCCAGTGCATGGCCATCATTAGGTAAGCTTTACTGAGCATTGTGGTCTCTGATTTACAACACACTCAGATGCGCTAAAGAACCACAGATAGTTCCCCTTTCTTTACAGATTTTTAAAAAATAGCAATCAAAAAAAAATAGGCAATGACTGGCTCTGACTCAGAATATGACACTGTGCTTTGCTATGAGATAAAGTGGGAAGAAATCCTTCATGTAGTTACCTAGGCCAGCTGCCAGCCTTCCTGCCAATCACAGTTACAGATGGACAGTAGGTGGTTTCTTCATCTTCTCAGATCAGTGCCATCTTGTAAGATGTAGGAGAGGGTAAATTGAGGATAGAAATGAAGAATAAAACAGTTCAAAGGTATTTTTTCCTGTTGCTTTGCATATCCTGATTCGTGCCTATAAATTGATACCTCCTTAGAGAAAATAAGAAAATAGGATTAAGAGTCATGCATTTCTGTACTATAAAGCCGTACAAATGGAACATGACTCAAGGTAAAGAAAGCATCTTTTATAGGTTTATTGGTCCATTACTTTAAGTTAATTGAGGTAAAGAAACCTTTTTAAAATTTACAAGCTAATAGTTTTTATCAAGCAATACAAATTCATTTGTTTTACCTTGAAATGTAATACTAATCCCATAATAAACAATGGACAGAATTTTTTTTTTACACAGATATGAAAAAAAGTGGACAAAAACCTCATGCCAGCATCAAAAATGCAACAAGAATTTTTTTTCTTCTTATAATCTCTGGGTTCCGTAATAAAACAAACAAAAAAAGGTGACATTCTTTTTAAAGTTTGGTAGCTTCATGAAACAAAGACTTTGACTTGTAAATCACTTTCTCATCTACAACACACATTCTCAAGCACATTTTTTTTTTCTTCACAGCTTCTGATTTGGCTTAATGGCAGCATGGATAGAAGAGAACACATTTACACGGAGGACTTCATCAATACCTCAAGGATTTTCTTTTAAAAATTTAAATGTAAAGAATGATTTCTCAAATAATAAACAGTTAATAATTTGGACATGACCTAAGCAAAAAGTTTGGTTTTTTTTCCTCCCCCGCCCCCCAACAGTTAAAAGTTAGAAAGTTTGCTGGCAGTTTATTTCATGGGAATATATCAGATGTACCCCATGTCTGAACACATCCTCGACACACAGACATCCAGGGGACAGGCACACGGGGACAGAGGGCGGGGCGGTACAAGACAGGACCGAACCCCCGGGGTGCCCAGGGCATGGCGCTGACTGTTCCGAGATGCTGGTTTGTTACTTGACACGGGCCTCCCTTCGTCCCACTGGGTCACATTTTTGTTTGCAGTGTACTATCTCCTCCTCACTTCCCCACTGGGGAAAAAGCGATCCCCCTTCCCTCCTTCCAGCATCATCTGTGACTGGAGGGATGGTCTGAGACTGTGAGCCAGCCTGTCACACAGCCGTGTTGGCAGGGGTTACCTGCTCACACCCGGCCTACAGGGGGCCCAGAATCGCCTGGTGAGAGGGCCACACTGCCTGGGGAGGTACATTGTGTGATACCCCGTCGCTGGCTTTATTAATAGTAAAAGCTCTATGACAAAGGACTAAATTATGTGAGTCAACACCATGTGTTCATTGTTTTTTTGGCATTTCAACCTGTGGAGAATTTCTATGTAAGATATGCTACTCGGAGGCCCCCACGGTATCTTTTAAAAAGCTGTTCTACAGAATCGGGGTAAACCTTTAATATTGTCATCATCTATAGAGTTCTTTGTATCTGTGATTTGTCGATGCTGATACCATAATATCCTCTACAATAAAAAATGTGCCAAAAGGCACTAAATGCATCTTTCACACTTGAAAACAACAACAACAACAAAGGTTTTGTGGTCCCTGTATTTCCTGACATTATCAAAAAATATCATTTGGCAATAGCAATACTTAGTTTTCTCTTCCCAAAAGGCAGCCCTAATTATGAACCTCACTTTCTGGCTTGTTTCTTTAAGAGGAATGAAGACTGGCTAGGTCAAGCCTCAAGTGTTTAAACTGAACAACTGATTACATCCCTAAAAACTCTTTTCTATCCAGAATCTAAAAAACAGTAGTTGAAGAATAAGGCATATTAGTAGGTGTTGACAAATTCTCAAAAAGTACAGTTAGACTTTTAACAGTCTGTGGCATGTCCCAAAGTCTGGATTTGTTGATTTTCAAGTGCTAAATACACAATGTTTATGAATGAGACAAATATCTTACTGGTTTGTTAGAGTTATTTTTTCCAAGCACTTATTTACAGGCTATCTATGGTAGTAAAAACTACCTGGATAACATTTTTTTTTTTTTTTTTGCCACACAGAAAGGGTTAGAGTCATACCCAGAGAACATTTCAAACATGTATGATTGAGAGAACAGTCACACCCCCATAACACCCCTCCCCCAAAGCTTTTCTAACATAGACAACCCTGTGCTGATCTGTGCAACATGGGGAGACCAAGTACCCTCAACCTAAAAAGCTGGCTACCTACTGGGTGGGCTGATGAAAAATCAGGTTCCTTAAATTCACTGAATTCAAAACCTTGGCTAGGTCAAACCTCAAGTGTTTAAACTGAACAACTGATTACATCCCTAAAAACTCTTTTCTATCCAGAATCTAAAAAACAGTAGTTGAAGAATAAGGCATATTAGTAGGTGTTGACAAATTCTCAAAAAGTACAGTTAGACTTTTAACAGTCTGTGGCATGTCCCAAAGTCTGGATTTGTTGATTTTCAAGTGCTAAATACACAATGTTTATGAATGAGACAAATATCTTACTGGTTTGTTAGAGTTATTTTTTCCAAGCACTTATTTACAGGCTATCTATGGTAGTAAAAACTACCTGGATAACATTTTTTTTTTTTTTTTTGCCACACAGAAAGGGTTAGAGTCATACCCAGAGAACATTTCAAACATGTATGATTGAGAGAACAGTCACACCCCCATAACACCCCTCCCCCAAAGCTTTTCTAACATAGACAACCCTGTGCTGATCTGTGCAACATGGGGAGACCAAGTACCCTCAACCTAAAAAGCTGGCTACCTACTGGGTGGGCTGATGAAAAATCAGGTTCCTTAAATTCACTGAATTCAAAACCGTAAGGAGGTGAACAGCTCCAACACACCCAGCTCCATCTGTAGGTGTGGCCCAGAGGGTGGCAGGCAAACTTGAGGGAGATGCCGTCGGGAGAAGAGACCAGAGTCAGTGAGTGGGTTAGCAGGCGTGTTCCACCTGGTGGTCCCTTGAGGACTCTGGGAAGGGAGAAGGTAGACCCAAATCCCCAACGTAATTTTGTGTTACCCCAGCCTGATGGTATCACCTTGTTCCCACAGACCTTGAAAGCAGGCCATGAGAGAGAAGGCAGGGACCAGGACTGGTGTGCCCTACCCTGACCCGCACAGACCTACCCTGGCCTCATCTGTTTGGGTCTCGGGATGGGGTGAAACTGGGCTTCACTCTGGCTGCTCTAAAGGGCTGTTTCTGCTCAGAAGACGGGCTAGTCTGGACTCTGCTCTCCCTTCACTCTCACCAGCTCAGGACACAGGGCAGAGGAGGAGTCTCATGAGACTCAGTGAACGGCATCAAAACAGAATCGAGTGCCCGCGACTTCAATGCTGTCAACGGCAGGGCCAAGTCATACAAACTCCGAGTGCCTCTTGGGCCGATACCGTCCCAAGAGCAAGTCCACGTGCAGACAGCCACATGGCGGGTGCCGTTCTCTAGACTGAACTGCCCGGCATTCCAACACAAACGGCAGCCTCGCAAGGAATGAGGGCCAGGTGTGCCTTTTATTCCTCCCCTTGTGGATGGCGACTGAGAAAACACATTCAACTCAACAACACGTAAGACACCCTCTGGGTGTGGCTGAAATTTGGCATGAAGACACACTTAGGTTACATTCACCACCATCCCCAGAGGTGTGCTGGTTTTTGTTATTTCAGCTAAAGAAAGGTGTGTGGCGGGTTCAATGAGCAGCACAGTGAAATATGAGCCAGTCACGTCCATAATCGCACTTATCTGAGGAATCATCGTTAAGTCTTAATAAAGGATAAAACCCAACCCTGAACCTGGCCTGAGCAGGAGCAGAGGTTCCTTGCTTTAAGCACAGTAGCTGAGAGCCTTCTTGGCAATCCAGCACAGGGTAAGGAAGAGCAGTGTCCTGAAAATGCTATAAATCACCACTGCTCTATTCAACCTCACCTGCATCTCTAAGATTGCTCAGTTTCTACGAGTCCTCTCTTCTGCTCTAGCCTGGACTTCTAACCCAGGTGAATGGAACCTTCCACTTCCCCAGCCCAGGGACAGTCAACAGGGATGACTTTCCACTCCACTGCTATGTACTCAAGTTTCAACCTGTCCACATGTGTCCAAGGTTAAGACACATCCTCAAGCAAACATCTCCCGGAAAATAAACACAAGACAGGAGTTAGTGATTCATGACTTTGTGGAGCCATGAAGGATAGGGTGACGAACCCTCTAGGAGGCAGTCTTTGGCACAGAGGTCTCTGGGTTACGCTTCTCATGGGGAATCATCTTTGTGATGATGGAGATAAAGAGGTGAATGCTTGGGGCTGCGGACCTTCAGTGGTGGGGCCCGTGGGGATGCGAAGGGCTGGAGAGTCTCCACCACTGCCTACTATCCCTCACCTTCTGGGCCAGCCCCCTCACCTCATCAGATGCCAGCCAGAAGTAAGGGACAAAGGTTCATTTTCTGGAATGACCACTCCTCCAAGGAAGGCTGCAAGGTACCCTGGTCCTCCAAGCTCTGCTAACAGTGGCACGCTGGAGGTTGGTTTGCCTCATTCCAGCTCTCCTTGGAGGCTTAAAGTGCAGGCACTTCACTGAGGGACCAAACAGAGAAAGACAAAAGCCAAAGGTGCCCATAATGCTTCAGAACTATTCTTCTGCCTCCAGTCATGTAAGAGGATGACTGTGCGCCCCACCCATCTCCATACGTCCCAGCAAGGAACCTGATGGGTTTCTTCTGAAGGGCTACCTTCTTGCCCAACTGACCTCCCACAGGAATGTCCGTGGGCTCTGGCCAGTAGCAGCAGACTAGAGTCTAGTCTTCCTGTAATTCCTCCCACCGTTCTTCCCAAGCATTCGTCATGCTGGACATTTTTAAAGCATACGTTCCATCAGGCAAGACTTCGCACATTTGCCAAGATGAGTGTTCACCTCTGGGACAGTCTAGTGTCTTCTGCCAAATATCCATAGAAGGTCATCAACCCACTATCAGATACATGCCCTGATTCTACCAGTAAGCTGTCAGGCTGGACCCAGGCAACCACAGCCACACCAATAGGATGGTTTAGAGGTAGAATGAAACACTGAATCACCCCTCGGGATCAATGAACTGTTCTTACCCTTTTTCTCCACTGAATCATCTCTAATTTTACCAAAAGGAAGATTCATATCAGAGGATTTTAGAATGGCACAAATGGGGTCTAACAGCGCAAGAAAGTACCAACTGACATACATATTATCACTTCAACCATGACTTTTTCAGACATGATGAAAACAGAACCAAGCTCTTCTGGGCTGCCCGATGGCTGCCCCACCAGCATCACAGCCGTGGCTGCCCCAAGATCAGTTCTGCAGCTGGAAGCTGCAGTGACCTCAGGAGGTTGCATGCTGACCAGTATTTGCAGGTTCACTTGAAAACACAGCAGTGTCTCAGCACAGCTATTTCATTAAAAACAACCAAACAAACAAAAATAATACTACCGCTTATTTGAGGCTCAGATTTGTAATTTTATGGAGATGAGCCACAGACAAAAGAACACAAACACGACATAGGTAGTTTCACTTCAAGAGGGGAAAGATAATAAGCTGGAGGAAGAGATCCTTTTTGTCTATTTTGTGTTGACACATTTGAAAAGGAAACCTGCAAGAGTCTGAAATGAAGGCTTCAAATGGAGCCAGGAGGAGATGTGAGCTTAACTAGAAGCAAAGAATTTGCCGTCACACATGTCGTCTTCGAGGCCCATCAGGATGCAGGCTCTTCTTTCTGACTAGGAAACAGTAAAGGTAAAGCACTTCATGTAGAGCGTTCATTCACACTATGGTTTACAAACCGTGACTATATCCTAAGAACACGCCAGCCTCTCCCCCAAAGGTTGCCCAAACGTTCAGTGGACACAGGAGGAAACATTAAAACTAGCAATTTTTGGTGAGGTAAAGGCAAACTGCACAAAGCGGACATGGGAGGCGGGCTTGGTATACGCCTGCTGACCTCAGCAACTCTCAACAACTCAGTTACTCCAATTTCAAGACAACAGATGACCCCTATCAGGCCGGTCTCTCTACCCTGATGACATTTAACAAGCAAAAGAACGGTGAAGAACGTCACAGAGAAAAATGCACCCTTTTTTTTCATTTTACACAAAACAGCTCCCAATCTACTACATTTTAGTGTCAGAAAACGAGTCTGGGGAACACGGCTCCCTCCACTCCCCAAGGCATCGGCATGAGGACAAGGACGCTGGCTGGCTGGCTCGAGCGTGGATGCACCAAGCCACCAATTTAAACGGTCCTACATGAACCAGAAACCCTAACATAGGTGTCACTCATGACGGGCAGGCAGCAGGCCACACTCAGAGCCACATAGGCCACTGTATGTACATTAAGGACTTCCCCTGGAGGCGCCGACACCACCTTCCAGGCCGAGACGAGTCAAGGCCCATGGAGGCCAATGTCAGGGTGGCCGGGCATCCACAGAAAGCAAGAGCTGCCTCCTGTTCATGGCGTCCTCATGGCCTGGCGAAGCAGGACCCGGTTGTCTTCCTCAGCAGGCAACTCTGCTGGCCCCAGAGAGGGGACTGTAATGAGATGTCAGAATGTCAGCTGAGGGCTGACGTGTGCCTCAGTTTCAAATCTTCGGAGTGTCCCACCGAGCAGGTTCCTTCACACCACGGAGGCACGCTTCTTCCACCGAGAGATGATGACAGCCCTTTATGGACTCCACCAAGGAATAAATACTCATGGGAAACAACTGTCGGACCAAGTGGGGGGGGGGATACACCGAGGAGAGATGCTGCTGTGGTTGTCTTCTTGGTGCTGCGTGTCCGGCACTGCAGGGACATTCCGGGGTGGGTGCCAGGCCCTGCGTAGGTAGGAGAGTCTCGGTCCCGAGAAGGGGCTTACTTGGCCTCTTGCTTCTCCTGCAGTAGTGGGATGATCGACTCCCACGCCATGAGGCACTGGAATGACAACACACACACTGCGCATCAGCGTGGAGATGCAGATTTCAGGGTCAGCTCTGAGCTACCCTCCCACAGTCAATCCTGCTGGGTCACCTTTGTCTAATGACGCCCTACACGGGTTATTCAGAGCTAGCAGAAAGAAGGGAGGCAACAGATGTTTGTTTTGACTATATCCCCCTCCCCCATCTCCATGAAAGACAGCAATGTCTCTATGAAGCCTAAATGAACTATCTGTGAAGTTCATCCCAGTGAGTGGAAAGGTATTCACTGAAAGAAATCCCCTCCCTTCCAAAAGCAGAAGAGACAGAGAGGCAGGCTGCAAACTCTTGGTGAGGCCCCAGGTTCCCATCTGGGGTGGAGACGCTGCTCCACATGTGGGTGGCAGGATAGAAACCATCTTGGAATGGGCCAGACGTGTGACTCAGGGCGCTCTCGTTCAGCCACCTCAGTTTAAGGTGGAGAACTACACGAGGCCTTCCTGAGAGGCAGCACCAGGGTGAAGCAGGACTCTGTGCTGAGGAGACTGGGGAGGAGGAGACATGAGCAGAGGGGAGGAGGCACACATCTCCAAGTCAAGCTGGGGGAAGGGAGAGGTGAATGGCTCACCGCTTCCTTCCTTGATGACTCTGAAGTTGGAGAAGAAGCTGGACTCAGACCCTGCCCTACAGAAGGAAGCCTGGGGAGCCTCGAGGAACTTGCTGTCAGAGAGAGACCCAGTGTGGGGTTGGTGACATCCTGAGTCCCGCTCTCTACCTCTGCCATCATCTCTCATCTGGAAAGTTCTATGTCGGTGACGGGGACCAAGGCCATACCAGCTTGCCTGCTTGCTAGTTTCCTTTTTTACCATTTTAAAGACATATTTTATTATACAACTATTACATGGAAACATTTTCACTGTAAAAAAAATTCAAACAATACAAATGAACCAACTAAATACCAGCTTTCTTTACCAAGTGAACTACTGGCCAAATGCTCAAGCTTTTTCCCATCCCAGGACCCTTACATATGTTGTCCCCTTTGCCTGGAATATCTGCTCTTTGTCTCTGCAACTCAGGTTAAAAGTTATGTCCTCAGACTTTCCTGCCCACTCTGCTTGCCTCTTCCATCCTGATCTGAATGATGCCTCCCTCGACTTTCCTCCCAGTTTCCTGTTCTTTTCCTGGAGGGCCTGCCTCTCTCTGAAGAGGTGGGATTCTTGGCCTAACGTGTCTCCTCCACTAGACAGGGGCTTCTCTGGTAGCTCAACTGGTAAAGAATCTCCTGCAATGCAGGAAACCCTGGTTCGATTCCTGGGTCAGGAAGATCCGCTGGAGAAGGGATAGACTACCCACTCGAGTACTCTTGGGCTTCTCTTGTGGCTCAGCTGGTAAAGAATCCGCCTGCAATGCGGGAGACCTGGGTTTGATTCCTGGGTTGGGACGGTCCCCTGGAGAAGGGAAAGGCTACCCACTCCAGTATTCTTGCCTAGAGAATTCCATAGACTGTATGGTCCATGGGGTCGAAAAGAATAGGACACGACTGAGCGACTTTCACTTTCACTTTCCATTAGACAAAGGGGTCCTTAACAGCAGGAGTCCTGCTGCTCTATCGATATGTACAAGGTACACAGATAGTACACAAAAAGCATCTGCCAAGATGAGGCCCCAGGACAGGGGCCCTGTTTGTGGCATAGTGGGAGGACACAGATGAAGGCCCTGGGTTTGAGATCTGGGCCCTGGGAACACTGGAATTAATCACCAAGAAGAGGAGAGGACATCAGCTGAGTCGGCCCTGGTGCAGTGGGAAGGTGGGGGACAGTGAGGGTGGGAAGGAGGGATGGAAGCCCCATTCACTGCCTATCAACCACATGCCAGGCATATTCCAGGTGCTCAGGCATCATTTCATTGTTTCTTCACCATCATTCAGATGAAGAAACAAAGGCAGAGAGAGGCACCCTGCCTAACAGCCCAGTCAGCAGAGGAATGAAGCCTTGGTTGCACCTGGAATGATCTTTCCACCTGTAGGCAGGCAGGACTGTCTCCCTCACTGACAGTGTGTGGGAATCCTCAGACCTGTGGACCCAGTGGAGCCAAGTCTGACCGTAGTTCAGTCATTCACAAGCTCTGTGCCCTTGGGCAGAGTTTTAAAACCTGGCTGAGCTTCCACGTCTTCAGCTTTAAATTAAGAGCCTCTAAAACCCACTTCACAGTGTTATGGTGAAGGTTAAGTTTAAATTTAACAAGCTGACATATGCAAAGCATCCAGCCCAATGTCAACTCAGACACACAGCAAGTGTCTGGGAGAAAGGTACCGAGAAAAGGAGAATGGCCCCTCCCCTTTTCCCCTGAAACAGTCCATCCTCAGACCTAGCAGGTAAGGGCTATTCCATGACTCTTTCCCTTAACCCTCCTCCAAATTAAGACGCAGACACACTGCCTCTGAGCAGCGGCCAGAGCATCAGTGTTTTTGAAGGAGATGGATTCCTCCAGTTTGGGCGGAGGACATATTTCTAGAATTGTGGTGGGAGTAGCTGAGTTAATGCTTGTCCAGCCTGATTTCAAGTCTACAGGTTATTTGCTGAATTATGATTGGGCCATTCTTCATCTTCATTAAGCTTTTGAGAAATACTAGGATTCATTAGCAACCGCGCTCTAGAGTTGGATGTGCTAGGGGCAAACTTTGATTGAGGATATTCGGCTGCAGCTTTATGACAGTCAAGTGTGTGCGTGAGTGCATGTGTGTGTGTGTGTTGGGGGTGCTTAATTTGAAGTCCGCAGGTCAAGAGACTCATGAAAAAAAACCTGTTTTTTAGTGTTAATAGTTTTCCTTTGTAATCCTATATCCTTTTGTATTAGGTATTTAAAAACAGTATTTTAAAGTCTATTTTAAAAAACAAACAGTATTCTAATAAGGAGGCTCAAGGCTTCACCAGATGACCAAAGGGATCCATAGCAGAATAAATGTGAAGAACCTTTGGGTGCAGAACCAAAGAACAGCCTGAAGGGCCCCAAAGCCTCCATCAACTGGGGACATCCAAGCGCTACAGGCTTGACTGGGAAGCAGCTGCTAGAAGAACTAGAGGACTTGGAGGGTAAAACCACAGTTTCATCAGCAGGGTGAAACCCCTGTGGGCACGTGAGGGGGGCCCCCGGTTCCAAACCCAGCACCGCATCTAGCAGAGCGGGGTGAGGACACACGGGGCTCACTAAGACTAAACACGTAAATTAAGGGAAGGAGAAGGGCCTGGCAGGATCCTTCGGCCTTCTGGCAGGCCCTGACCAGAGGCTCTGGCTATTAAGGGGAGGACTGTCGGCTCATCACCAGCTCATCACCTTCTCGTAATACTGGATGTTCTTGTCAGCCATTCCCATGAGCAGCTGCCGAAAGTCCTGTCTCTTGTTGTTCTGCCACCTCTCCATGTCGGCTTTCAGATCAGCGTTGAAACACTCCATCCGATCCTGACATTTCTCCACATCTGCTGGGACCTGGGAGGGGAATGTGTACATGAGAGCTCTGTATGTACAACAAGCACCTCATGCCCCTGTGCTCATATGTTTGTGAGAGGCCAGAATACCGCCTTAAAACGCCGTGAACATTCCCTCCTCTGGAGGTGCAGGCATAGCCTTGGGTTTCCAAGTGAAAGAAGGAATTTTGAAGAGTGCCATCCCTGACCCAAATTTTCAAACCCATCCAAGCTAAACAGTGACTCATGGGGGAAACACCTGTCTGTTTACAAACAGGAAGAAGAAACACTGTGATTCAGAGTCACCTGTCTTTGGTTCCTTTTAGGAGTTAGCCATCTGTAAGTGAAAGTGTATGATGGTTTCGTAAGTGTACAGCAGTGTCTGGTACTGCCCTGCTATGCTCCTATGCCCCATATTGAAAGCAGAAAATTGGTGTTTTCACATCACATGAACTGTCCCATTACCCATGATGTTTCTCATTAACCAGAGAATTCACTGCAATAAGAAGACAATTGACCCACTTTACAAATCAGCTGGAGACTTATCCACACACTCTCAGATAGCAGAAAATCAAAAATACAGAGTTAAAACTGGGTAATTCTGGGGAAATGGAAGGCAAGTTGTTCATGCGTGCCATAAACCATGAAATTCAAAGAAGAAATATACAGCAGGCTAGTTCTAGTTTTTCTTAAGGAAGTTTAGAAAACTTTCTCAAAATAGAACTAGGTTGCCTGAATTTCACAACTTTCACTTTGCTTTGGTGAGTTTCATCCACTCTACACAGTTGGAAAGAAAACACCCAATACTAAAAGAAGGTAATGGGAAATGGTAACCCTGGTACCCAAAACACAAAGCTGGCTTCTCTCCTAACTCAAGAGGCTCCACTCAAGAGGCTCCATTGGACTTTGATGGTGGCCAGGGGGTTGGGGGCAGGGAGTCAACCTGCCCAAAGCTGGGTAGCACAGTCACCTACCAAATGCTTTCCCAAAACAAGTGAGGCCTTGTACATTTTGTGTGCTGGGGCCTCTGATCCCGAATATAACCATCAAGGTCAATCTCTACCGACCAGGGAAGTTTTATACCCAGACATTTTGGGCAAGGAGCCCAGAAACAAGGCCAAACGTGGGGGAGTTGACTCTTTCAGGGTTTCCAAAGTGCTGAGGGCACTTGGCCATCTGCCAGCCAGACCACTGGGCTGCGTACACAAGAGCAGGGGAAGAGGAGCCACCCAGGTGAAGGAATTCAAGTGTTGCCTGGCATGGAAACTATCCTGGGAGAGACAAAGATGAGTGAGAGAAGAAGATATAGTCAGATATCCTGGGCAACTGAAAAGAAAAGATATTTGGGGAATTCCCTGATGGTCCAGTGACTAGGATATTGATGCTAAGTAAGTGCTTTCACTACTGTGGACTCAGGTTCAATTCCTGATTGGGGAACTAAGATCCTGCAAGTTACTCAGCAAAACAAAACAAGCAAGAACTTTTAAGGGCTGGGGTAAGTGTCCTCTAAAGCACTTAAATTCCTGGAGGAAATTTTAAAAAGGACTCAATTTTTATCTTCTGATGCCAGAACCGAAGTCACTTTTGCCTTTCCCTGCTGATTCACCTGTTACTCTTGGCCACCTTGGGGGAAACTGAAGTAAAAACAATACTGCCTTGACTGTGCATCTGCAAAGTCTGCAGAGCATCCCTGGCAAACATCCTGGGAACCAGCCTCAGCAGGCACCCAGCAAACCAGGCTCCAGACACTTCCCCGCCCTCCTGGCAGGCACAGTCCACTTCCCTTATTCCTCTTGCAACCATTGCTAATTTTAGCATCTGGGGAAAAGTGTCCAGAAACAACATCCTGTATGCTTAACAAAACTGCTGCAGCAAGGAGGAAAGCCAGGCTCTGAAAGGAAGACTTCCTGGACAGTGAGAAGAGGCGGGTAGGCTCTCTGATTCCAGGGAGTGCTCACCTAGGAAAGATTTCTGGGTCTGGTCTGGGGATGGAAACTCTGGATTGTATGGTTGCCCGAGCCTCAATGTGGGAAATGCTTTTAGCTTATCATTTTCCCAACATATTCCACATGGGGTACAGGGGGGGACATGAAAGTGCTGAGGTCTCAGCAGGCAGATCTTATCTCAAGTCACCCAGAGTCTAGGTGGGAAGAAAACAAACATGTCTGGACACGAAGGGGAGATGGTTCAAGGGCTTTCACTTCACTTGGAGCCTGTGACACGCACACTGTGAGGAGGAGCTGGAGAGTGAGGACAACGTGGATGGGGGAGACGGGAGGAATACCACGTAGGCGACACTTAACAGATGACGGAGGCACTTCCCCAGTGTTACCGTGGTTAAGAATGCACCTTGCTATGCAGGACATGGGTTCAACCCCTGGTCCAGGAACCAAGACCCTACACGCCGAAGAGGCACTGAGCCTGCACCCCCACAGCTAGAGAGCCCATGTACTGCAACAAAACATCCCACGTGACCCGGCAGAGATCCCACGTGCTACAGCTAAGACCCAGTCAAACAAACAAACAAAAAAAAGATGGTGGAATTGGGGACCTGTGGCTCCAGAGGGACAGACAAGTGACAAGAGGTGAGGCAACCCCTGGACCCACCTCAGGAACAGCTCACAGGCCACAGACCCCCAAAGACAGAGAGAGAGAGAGAGAACCCCAGCTGGCAGAGAACAAAGCGCAGAACTCATGGAAGGGCCTGCACGCACAGGGTTACTAAAGGAGTCGGCAAGTTACTAAGAAACCTGGACACAGGAGCAGGAAATAAGTCAGGGCGAGCAGAGCCACAGAAGCACAAGGATGGAGGAGGTGGGGGATGGGAGTTAAAAAGAACAGAATAAGAGGAATCCTGTGTTAAGAGGTGAGCTGTACTCTGAAGTAACCAGCTACTGAACTGCCCAACTTCATGGAGAGAAGGGCCGCTGGGGCTTGCGTTCCTCTCGTTTTTGTCTCTGTCTGGACGGTGTCTCAATCTACCCACGAGCAACCACCAGCATTCCCTCCTATCTCAGTGTTTCGATTTTTTGACTGAGACACTCTTGGAGGTATTGTCTGGAGGGGTTAGAGATGGAAATATCCAATGCTAATGGTTGGTGCTGCTGTTCACAACACACCAAGAAGGACAAAAAAGTCTCCAGATAAGACTTCGCTGCTATTTAGTCGCTAAGTCATGTACAACTCTTTTATGACCTGTGGATTGTATTCCGCCAGGCTCCTCTGTTCATGGGATTATCCTGGCAAGAATACTGGAGTGGGTTGCCATTTCCTTCTCCAGGGGAATCGTCCCAACCCAGGGATCAAACCTGCATCTCTCATGGCTCCTGCCTTGGCAGGAGCTCATTACCACTAAGCCACTTGGGAAGCCCCAGAGAAGACCTCATGAGACCAAAATTTCTGAAGAGAGGACAAGGCTGCATTCTTCATATTGGTTCCCCTATCTCTCATGAGAAGTTCCATTACAGGATATGAGTTATGGAGTGAAGGGAGAAGGGTAACACGGGAGGAGATAAAGCATATATCTGTGTTAGAGAGCAGGGCGGGAATGTGAACTCACTCAGCATTCAGTGGGAAATGTATCACTGAGCTCTTTCCATGAAACAGGCATTGCTCGGCCCTACAAATAAATCTCCAAGTTTCCTTCTCGGAGGTAGGCTGGAGACGTCATATTATCTGCTCCCACGATGACAGTAGGTTAATAAAGTCTGCAAAGGTTACATAAGGCAGACATGACCCCAGTACCAGGGGAAAGAGGGGACTCATGGCTGCTGGGGGACAGGTGCCGGGACCAAGGACAGAGTCAATTCAAGACAGTCTTCTCAGTCACATGCTGCTAACTGAAAAAGAGGCAGATTTCCTAACTGGTGCCATGTCAACGACAGCAATACTGGTTCCCCCACCCCCCGCCCCAGCCCCCTAGGAAGTCAGAACTGGCCACCTCCAGTTTCAAGCAATCTGGTCTTCAATCCCAATGTTCCATACAAATATTTTCATTTTCTATGTGACCTGTGCAATGGAAGAGAAGTTGAGAAAACACTGGGGCAGAGTAAAGTTTGAGAAGAGGCTACTGAATTTGGCAAATATTCAGTAAGAACGCTTAAAAATATATATATAAAAAGAAGCAAACTTCAGAGAACGGCTGGTGAAGAGGGAAAAGTGAGCACCCAAGGCCGGTGGAGAGCGGACACGCTGAGGAGAGAGGAGCCCTGAGCTCACGTGCACGACGGCTGAATGGACGGGCAGACACAGACCAAGAGCCAAGACAGGCCCAGGTTCTCCCCCCAGCCCCTCCACCATCAGCCACACATTTTCCAAAAGCAGGAAGCACCCCCCGCCCCCAATGAAGCAAAGGTTGCTGGGAGCCCTCGAAGTGGGGATAAAGGGCTCCAACTTGGAAACCAGACCTATCAGGGGCCCAATTCCAGCTCCACCAGGTATGAGCTTCTATGGGTGGGTCACACAAGTCCCCTGGGCCCTGGCTGCTCATCTGTAAGGTGGGAACCGCACTGATAGAGGCTGTTGGAGGAATTAAACAATGGAGGCGACAGAGCCCTGCCCTGCTGTGGTGCATTACTCTGGCTTCCTAAACCAGGCTGAGGTCATGGCTCCTGTGGAGAGAACTGGGAGTCATCAGGCGTGCCTCTCCTCACTCACCAGAGGTATCTGGAAACAACAGATACTCCTGCAGAACTCTCAGGCCTATGGAAGCTCCATATTCAGAAGTCCCCCTATTTCTATCTGCTATGTCAGAACTGGAGTTCTTGCTACCCACTGCCACATAGCCCTCATTCCAGAATGTTCACCATTCTGGTGGTTTTAAGAATTTGTAAAGGCCCACCACCTTTGAGAGGCTCGTCCAAGTGACCTCCAGCGCTCCTTCCCCTCTCCACCTGCGCTCACCCTGAGAAGAGGTACATCTTGTCTTCTGTTCCATCCACATCCACACCACATGCCTCTGCCCGCGATGATGCTACCCACTTCCAACAGCCTCTGGAAGGATCCAGTACCAGGCACCGGATCTGGCAGGCTTCAGTGGATTGGGGCCTGAAATAGCCCCTCTCTTTCTCTTTTAACCTTTCATAAAACATTCTCTCTTGGTATCCCTTCTTTGTTAATTTTTTGAATCAACATGTGACTATATAAGCATTTGAAGAGAGTCAAACCCAGAATACAACGTGCCTGGTCCCCTGTGGTTTACCCTCACAGGAGTCCACATTTGAGTATGCGTGCTTCCCATCCAGTTTTAAATGCAATGCCTTGCTTGGCTCCCCTCTGTTTCCACTAATAGCTTTGATAGCTTCTAAGGAAGGGCAAATTCTCAGATTTCCCGAAGTGGTCCCGACAGAGGCAGCAAAAAGCAGCCAGCTCCCTCCCTGCTCAGTGCATTTTCATTTCTGCAAATTAAAATCAAAATTAAAATAAGGAAGCCGACTCTGCACAATCAAAGCTCCACTTGCCTGAGAATAAACCACCTCAGGGTCTGCAGACTTTCCTCCACCTAAAACCAAAGCAATCTTTAAATTCTATGATACAAACATTTTCCCTCTGTTCCAGAGGCCTCATCACTGCCTGCCCCCAGCACGGCACACGCCTAGAAGCCATGGCCACTGGGCTCCCTGTCCACTCAGCCAACAGCCGGAGTCACAGGGTTCAGTCCTCTGTCCAAAGACATCCACTCCTCTGTGAAATCCCAGGGAGGTACACTGAGACCCAAGAGGCCAACTCCTTCTCCTGGGTTACTGAGAAGTGGTCAGTTTTCAGACGACATCGGGCGCGTTCAGGGTGGTATGGCCATAGACTGAAGTGGTCAGTTTTCAATACCTCTCCATGGCTTCACATAAAATCAACTCTGCCTCACTCTTCAGAGCAACCTTTCAAGACTTCACCTCAAAAGGAACTCAGCCCCCAGACTCCCTCAGATCTTCTCCTTTCCAGCCCAGACCCCAGCCTCCCCGTGAGGACTCCCCATCTTTGGGTGGGAGTCCTTTCCTTGTCTGCAGCCCTGGGATGGACCTGTGAGCAGTCTTGCTCCCACGACAGTTACCAAGAGTGGAACCTGTTGAGTCCTGGGGAGCATCAGCCCTGACCCGCTTCCTGAAAGCCTGGCTCTCTTCTCACCAACAGCAGCTCTGGAAAGTGAAGCTCAAACATAAGACATTAAACAGAACACAGCCGACCCTTAAGCTACTCACTTCCCACAGCAGCTGTCTCTGCTGCTACAGACATCTGGGAGGCGTGGGGACGGAAGGGACACTTTGGGACACAAGGAAACAATGCCCCCAACACTGCACTCAGAAAAAAAAAATTTAATTGAAAAAAAAAAGTGGCACCAAACCTAGAAAACGAAACTCTCACTCAGCATTCCTACTAGAAGCAATGGGAGCCAGTCTGGACAACAGAGGACCCACCAGCAGAACATCTGCTGTTGCATCAGATACTTGACTGACTCTCCCATCTTCACAGCAATCACAGGGATGAATCCCACAGAGGCTGGTGAGCAAAACCAGCAAAACTCTGAGCTGGGGGACAGAGTGGGGATTCAAACCCAGGGCCATCTGATTTCAACCCTGTGCTCCATCTACCAAACAGTGGTTGATTGGACAGGCCGCCAACCAAGCCCTCTATGGTCCAGCAAAGCAGCGGCTGCCCCAGACCCCAGACTGGAGACACGATTTCAGCTGCCTTCATTGTTGATTACACTTGGTGGTGCATCATGGTGGCGGCCCCTGCTTTGTTAAGTATCACCATGGCTACATGAGCAGCAAGTTCACTTTGGAGTGATTCAGAATCCCGTGAGAGAGAGGGAAGACAGACACTGTGTCCCCACCCCCACGCTGTGCTAAGGGTGCAGGGATGTTTGGAACTTCCAGATTGGAAAGAAACCCTTCCCCCTCTTGGGAGAACTCTGCTGGCGGAGAGAATGAGTCGGACGTGTGAGCGAGTTGATGCTCCAGGGAGGTGAGAGCAATGGTAGCAGGAAGATTGCAACACCCATTGGGAGGAGAGGAGAAGTCACCCCGGCCGGCACAAAGGGAACAGCGCGAGGCCCGAGCCCCGCAGCTTGGCTGGGTGGAACTTGGGAGCCAGAAAGAGCAGCTTCCTCTGCTCCCGGGTGGGTGTGGCCCGCAGGCAGCCAGCAGTCCAGGGCCCAGTCAGCATTTAATTCGGCACTCCCTCCCTGCTCAGTGCATTTTCATTTCTGCAAATTAAAATCAAAATTAAAATAAGGAAGCCGACTCTGCACAATCAAAGCTCCACTTGCCTGAGAATAAACCACCTCAGGGTCTGCAGACTTTCCTCCACCTAAAACCAAAGCAATCTTTAAATTCTATGATACAAACATTTTCCCTCTGTTCCAGAGGCCTCATCACTGCCTGCCCCCAGCACGGCACACGCCTAGAAGCCATGGCCACTGGGCTCCCTGTCCACTCAGCCAACAGCCGGAGTCACAGGGTTCAGTCCTCTGTCCAAAGACATCCACTCCTCTGTGAAATCCCAGGGAGGTACACTGAGACCCAAGAGGCCAACTCCTTCTCCTGGGTTACTGAGAAGTGGTCAGTTTTCAGACGACATCGGGCGCGTTCAGGGTGGTATGGCCATAGACTGAAGTGGTCAGTTTTCAATACCTCTCCATGGCTTCACATAAAATCAACTCTGCCTCACTCTTCAGAGCAACCTTTCAAGACTTCACCTCAAAAGGAACTCAGCCCCCAGACTCCCTCAGATCTTCTCCTTTCCAGCCCAGACCCCAGCCTCCCCGTGAGGACTCCCCATCTTTGGGTGGGAGTCCTTTCCTTGTCTGCAGCCCTGGGATGGACCTGTGAGCAGTCTTGCTCCCACGACAGTTACCAAGAGTGGAACCTGTTGAGTCCTGGGGAGCATCAGCCCTGACCCGCTTCCTGAAAGCCTGGCTCTCTTCTCACCAACAGCAGCTCTGGAAAGTGAAGCTCAAACATAAGACATTAAACAGAACACAGCCGACCCTTAAGCTACTCACTTCCCACAGCAGCTGTCTCTGCTGCTACAGACATCTGGGAGGCGTGGGGACGGAAGGGACACTTTGGGACACAAGGAAACAATGCCCCCAACACTGCACTCAGAAAAAAAAAATTTAATTGAAAAAAAAAAGTGGCACCAAACCTAGAAAACGAAACTCTCACTCAGCATTCCTACTAGAAGCAATGGGAGCCAGTCTGGACAACAGAGGACCCACCAGCAGAACATCTGCTGTTGCATCAGATACTTGACTGACTCTCCCATCTTCACAGCAATCACAGGGATGAATCCCACAGAGGCTGGTGAGCAAAACCAGCAAAACTCTGAGCTGGGGGACAGAGTGGGGATTCAAACCCAGGGCCATCTGATTTCAACCCTGTGCTCCATCTACCAAACAGTGGTTGATTGGACAGGCCGCCAACCAAGCCCTCTATGGTCCAGCAAAGCAGCGGCTGCCCCAGACCCCAGACTGGAGACACGATTTCAGCTGCCTTCATTGTTGATTACACTTGGTGGTGCATCATGGTGGCGGCCCCTGCTTTGTTAAGTATCACCATGGCTACATGAGCAGCAAGTTCACTTTGGAGTGATTCAGAATCCCGTGAGAGAGAGGGAAGACAGACACTGTGTCCCCACCCCCACGCTGTGCTAAGGGTGCAGGGATGTTTGGAACTTCCAGATTGGAAAGAAACCCTTCCCCCTCTTGGGAGAACTCTGCTGGCGGAGAGAATGAGTCGGACGTGTGAGCGAGTTGATGCTCCAGGGAGGTGAGAGCAATGGTAGCAGGAAGATTGCAACACCCATTGGGAGGAGAGGAGAAGTCATCCAGGCCGGCACAAAGGGAACAGCGCGAGGCCCGAGCCCCGCAGCTTGGCTGGGTGGAACTTGGGAGCCAGAAAGAGCAGCTTCCTCTGCTCCCGGGTGGGTGTGGCCTGCAGGCAGCCAGCAGTCCAGGGCCCAGTCAGCATTTAATTCGGCCTATTACTCATACCCTTCAGTTCCTGTCTTTGGTAAGGCGCCGTCCCAAACTGGGCTGAACATCTACCAAAAGACGAAACTGGCCTCTGAGAAAGAGCTTACAGTGGTTGCTGAGTAGGGAGGACGGCTGATAGAACTATTTAAGTGACATCTTTGAAACACAGGAATTAAGTGACATCTTTGAAACACAGGATTTTCAGCTTCCAAGCTGGGCTAGTGGCAGAACTTGTTGTCTCTCCTTCCATCCCTCGCCAGGAAAAGGGACTTCTGTACTTATATTTAGAAGCTAAATTGTTAACAGTGAGATTTTTAAATACAGTGTCCCTTGTCATTCTTTTAAATGAGACGGAGATGTGGGCTCAGCAGGCTGCACCGTGTTCCAGAAAATCAGAGGAGCGGCTTGGAGCCAGTCAGCGGGACCGGCAGCTGCAGGCAGAGGGCGGCTGGGCACACAGCACCTCAACAGTGGACCTCTCGGCTTCTCTGCTTTTGGGTGGGTTAACAGTTTATGGACCATTCCACAAACTACACTTTTGAGAACACTGATCTAGACTGTTCTCCTTTCTCCTCAGTCCCATTTCATAGACAGGAACTGCCTCTGAATTGCAGAGCTGGAAACCTCAAAAAAAAAAAAACAACAAAATCCCAGGAAACAGTAAGAAAAAGCTCAACCCCCAGTGTACATCGGACATAAAAGGGAGCAAAGAGAGGAAAAGAACAGCATCAACCCCACCCAGCCGGCACTGGTCGCTTTGGTCATACCGATCAGGGAACATGAATTCACCCGGCACACCGTGGGGTGTCACAGCCCGCCCGCCCCGGGCGTCCCCCTGACCTTGGGCCGCTCTTCCTTCCTCAGAGCCACGGCTTCCAGCTTGGCTTCGTACTCGGCCTGTACATGGTCCCTCTTCTTCAGCACGCTCTGCGGGGGGCGAAACGGAAGCGTGAGCACAGCCATTGCTTCTGCACCCCGAACCTGCCCAAGCCTCCGTCACGTGCTCCTAGGACAGTCTGGCCATGGCTGACACAGGCTCTGTGTTTCTAGGATGGTCTGGTCATGGCTGACATCAGCTCCGGAGAGAGCTGGGGGCGGAGGGAGAGGAGAACCGTGCTCACAGGTGGAGCTTTCCAGCGCAGTAACTCAGCCTGATGTTCAGTCACAGAATCCCAGGGAAGGGTGGGTGGGGGGAGTGGTGCCCACTCCACAGGTATGCGGATGAGGGGACCCTCCGCGCCCCGGTGCAGAGAGACCTCAGCTGTGCTGGGACAAGGAGCCGGGCAGGTGCCAAGGTGGGACCTTGTCTGAACTGTTACTGGAAAATCTAAGTCACGAGAGTTGTTGTCTCTTTAATTCATCGAGTTGACCCCTGGGGGACTGAGCTGCTCACTGATCCACTATTAGCCACGCATCTGTCCTCCACTCTGGCCCGGGTACTTGAAGAGCAAAGATACACAGCTCGGACCTGAGGGTTCCGGCCACGGGAGACGGTGGACACAGCACGAGGCTGCCCGTGCTCAAAGAGCCAGGGACGAGCCCAGCAGCCCTGCGACCACGTGGGGAGACTGCCAGACCCAGCGCTGCACGGGCGCAGGGGCCAGCCGGCGCAGGACTGGGGGAGGCACGCCGGCACCCAGGCTGCAAGCTGTAAGCAGACACTCCGTCCTGGGCCCGTGCAAGCGCAAGGCTGGCCTCTGAGTGTGAGTCCCTAAACTCACGCCCTGGGCGCCTCCCTCTGTCTCTGCCACTCAGACCCCAGCAGGCAGGACAGAGAAGCTTACGGTCAACCTCCTAGAAAAGCACGTTTCACCCAAGGGTTTCTTTTTCTTCTTTCAGTAGAACCACAAGTGGCAAACCGAGAGTGATAAGAACTTTCTCTGCTGCTGACTCAGAAGACGCAAAGTGCTCTGAATCTCTCACCTCACGTTCTCCCGCAGAGCACGGCGGCAGGGGGCGGCTGCTCGGCCACCGCAGTGGACGCTTCAGTCCGCGCGACGTGCTGAAACGCGGTGAGCGGCTGAGCCACTGACGACGCTCTGCAGACAGCCTTCTCACGGAAGGCGACAACATGGGGAACCTCAACTCTCCCTTAAGTATTTGCTTGGAGAAGTGTTTCACCACAAGAAGGACACGAGATGAAACCTGAAACAGCTTCGCTTTTCATTGGTTTCCTCTCAGCTTTCTCAGGTGCTCTGAGGTCTCCTCCCCACACGCATCAGCCTCTGGGCCTAGAACCTTCTGCTGTGATGGAGAGGTTCCACGACCTGCATGGACCAGCACGGCGGCCGCTAGGCTCACCTGCCGACTGAGCTCTTGAAATGTGGCTGGTGTGGCTGAGGAACTGGATGTAAATCTTTATTTAAGTTTCCCTAATTTGAGTTTAAACTGAAATAGCCACCGATGGCAAGCGGCTGTCGTACTGGACAGAACAAATCTATAAAGTAAACACAAAAGAACAAAAAAGCCAGGGCTCCTTTCTAGATTTCACAGAGCCAAAAGCATTCAAAATCTACCGGTCTGGTATCAGCAGTAGCTGCTCTCCGTGGGGACATAAATGTGGCTCCCTGGGGGGCCAGGAGGACAGGGATGGGGGGGTGTTGTTGAGGAATCTGGTTCTGCCTTGTACTCCCTTCACAGGGCGCCTCACGTGGTTTGGGGGAAAGCACGTGTATCCAGGCTAGGAACACGGCTCCACCAACAATGAGTTGTTCCAATGACACACCCCTGTCAGTGTGGCAAGAAACTCCTAGCCAAAGCTAGAAATGCTCTTAAAATGCCTTCAAAACACAGTAAGCACAGTGTGGGACGCTTCCTCTCAGTTCTGCTGAGAGCGTCTCAAGTCTCTCTGATGAGGTTGCCCAGGCCCTCAGGCAGGGAGGGATGGTGAGAGCAGTCCTGTCAACTCCACTCAGCTCAGCACGTAGCCTCTCCCTCCCCTCAAGGCAGACGAGGGGGCCAAAGACTCAGCCACACTCCCTCCCTTCCTCAGGCCTGCCTGGGCCGAGGAGAGGTAAGGGCTCTGTCTCCTCAGGCTCTGCAAGCCCGGAGCAACCGGAACAAGGCCTTCTCCTGAAGCCTGAAAGGGGGATCTGGGCGAGCACCCCTACCTCACTGGACTGCAGAAAAAAACTCACAACAACCACAAAAGCTCACCACAACCCTGCGGAAGTGAGAGGGTGCTATCCCTGTTCTACAGGCAAGAACACTGAGGCACCAGGAAGTGACCTGGCTGAGGCCACACTGCTGGCTAAGAGCACAGAGGTGACTCACTCGGGCTTCGCAGCTGAATTCCAGAGCGCGTGGTTCCCCAACCTGACTGCCAGCCAGCCAGGGCAACCTGTTCCGAATTAAAATAAACTGCTGAAGACTACCATCCTTGCTGGGAGCACCTTCGCACACCACGGGCAGTGGTCTGAAGGGACTGGCCTCCCTCCCGAAACAGCACAGGATCTGCCGATGGACCTGGCCACACTGGCCTCTGGTTGACGGGGCCTCAGCCTTCAGGGGAGTGAAAGGGCCTTCAAGGTGCTGGATCAGCATCTGCAGAGAAGTCCCTCCAGCACCGAGTGATGAGCAGAAGACCTTTACCCTTTGAGCTTCTCACAGAAATCGACAGAGCTCTCTGATGCTAGTGGATACGGGGATGCATGCGTCCCACCCTGTGGCCTTCCGCCCCTGGTCTGCACGGCCATTCCCACCCCATTTCTGTCTTGCCTTAACATTTCTTCATTTACCCAAGTGCTGGAGATACAGCAGAGAGCAAAACACACAGAACCCCTGCCTTCGTGGAGCTGACATTCCAGGGAGGACGCAGATAATACACAGATAACATATAATCAACATAAGACCCTGGAAGGTAACGCTAGGTGTTCAGGAGGAAAAATGAAAACAGGAAAGAAAGATGTGAAGCACTGAGGGTTTGGAAGGTGAATTGTGCACTGGGTGGCCAGGGAGGACCTCAATGAAAGGAGACTTTTAATTAGAAACATTGAGTAAAGTTCTCTCAATGCTATGTATATTTTTAATGTTGAGCATTTCATCATGATTTCGAAATGGTCCCAGTAACCTGGAACTTCACTACTTCTCTTTTCGAATGCAGAGGGGGAAAAAAATAACTGCTTTCTTTAATAAATAAATTGCAAAGAAAAATAAATAGAGGGGGAGGGATTCTTAAAATACTTAAGAACTATGTCAAGCAAGTATGAATTTTATTTATATCCCACTTTGGAAAAAGCCTAAAAACAGTGTCTGAGACAACTGGGGAAACTGAACACTAACTGGATATTTGAGGAAATATTAAGGAAAAAAAATATCTATTTAGGTGTGACACTACGAACAAAGCTAGTGGAGGTGATGGAATTCCAGTTAAGCTATTTCAAATCCTGAAAGATGATGCTGTGAAAGTGCTACGCTCAATAGGCCAGGAAATTTGGAAAACTCAGCAGTGGCCACAGGACTGGAAAAGGTCAGTTTTCATTCCAATCCCAAAGAAAGGCAATGCCAAAGAATGCTCAAACTACCGCACAATTGCACTCATCTCACACGCTAGTAAAGTAATGCTCAAAATTCTCCAAGCCAGGCTTCAGCAATACGTGAACCGTGAACTTCCAGATGTTCAAGCTGGTTTTAGAAAAGGCAGAGGAACCAGAGATCAAATTGCCAACATCCGCTGGATCATCGAAAAAGCAAGAGAGTTCCAGAAAAACATCTATTTCTGCTTTATTGACTATGCCAAAGCCTTTGACTGTGTGGATCACAATAAACTGTGGAAAATTCTGAAAGAGATGGGAATACCAGACCACCTGACCTGCCTCTTGAGAAACCTGTATGCAGGTCAGGAAGCAACAGTTAGAACTGGACATGGAACAACAGACTGGTTCCAAATAGGAAAAGGAGTACGTCAAGGCTGTATATTGTCACCCTGCTTATTTAACTTATATGCAGAGTACATCATGAGAAACGCTGGGCTGGAAGAAGCACAAGCTGGAATCAAGATTGCCGGGAGAAATATCAATAACCTCAGATATGCAGATGACACCACCCTTATGGCAGAGAGTGAAGAGGAACTAAAGAGCCTCTTGATGAAAGTGAAAGAGGAGAGTGAAAAAGTTGGCTTAAAGCTCAACATTCAGAAAACTAAGATCATGGCATCTGGTCCCATCACCTCATGGGAAATAGATGGGGAGACAGTGGAAACAGTGTCAGACTTTATTTTTGGGGGCTCCAAAATCACTGCAGATGGTGATTGCAGCCATGAAATTAAAAGACGCTTACTCCTTGGAAGGAAAGTTATGACCAACCTAGACAGCATATTAAAAAGCAGAAACATTAGTTTGTCCACAAAGGTCCGTCTAGTCAAGGCTATGGTTTTTCCAGTAGTCATGTATGGATGTGAGAGTTGGACTATAATGAAAGCTGAGCGCTGAAGAATTGATGCTTTTGAACTGTGGTGTTGGAGAAGACTGCTGAAAGTCCCTTGGACTGCAAGGAGATCCAACCAGTCTATCCTAAAGGAGATCAGTCCTGGGTGTTCATTGGAGGGACTGATGTTGAAGCTGAAACACCAATATTTTGGCCACCTGATACAAAGAGCTGACTCATTTGAAAAGACCCTGATGCTGGGAAAGATTGAGGGTAGGAGGAGAAGGAGATGACAGAGGATGGGATGGTTGGATGGCATCATCAATTCAATAGACATGAGTGTGGGTAGACACCGGGAGCTGATGATGGACAGGGAGGCCTGGCGTGCTGTGGTTCATGGGGTCGCAACGAGTTGGACACGACTGAACTGACTAATGTGGTCCTTTTTCTTCCTTAAAAGAATATTTGGGGACCTCCCTGGTGGTCCAGTGGTTAAGACTTCACCTTCCAAAGCAGGGTGTATGGTTTCCATCCCTGGTTGGGGAGCTGAGATCCCACATGCT